GCCCAGGAGGGCATGGAGAAATCGATCCCCCCAGACTCGGCCCTGGACGCGGGCGTCGCCCCCAGCGAAAGAAGCGAATCCAGCACTTGGCGACGCTTGAGCCTTCCAGGAGAAACCGAAAACCTGACACCTCCGGGACGAGGCAGCTTCTTTGCCCGCAGCTCCTGAGAGGCGCGCTCACTCATGACCAGCGGCCGTTCTGGTAGGTCGTCCATCCGGCCTCCTTCCACTCCTTCTGCTGCTGCTGCTGCTGGAGTGCCTCCTGGCACCTCTTCTCGGCGGCCTCCTGCTCTGGTCCCGGGGCCCACGGGTCCTCGCGGTCCTGCCTCTTCGACGGTGGGGCCTTGCTCTTGGCATAGGGGCCCGGCGCTGTCTGTGGAGCTGACACGTCCGTCACCGGGAGCGAGATGCTGGCGTCCGTGGTCAGCGCCGCCGTCAAGCCGATCGCCACCTGGTCCGCAGTGTAGAGGCGGCTCGGGTTGCGAGGTGGCGCTGCATTCGCCACCATCGGATGGACCGATGGTCCATACGTCGGGTACCCTCCCAGCGCTGGCGGCATCGTCGACTGAGGCGCTCCCGCGTTGATCGCTGCCTGCTCGCGCAGCAACGCCTGGGAGGCCATCGCCGGTGGCACGCTCTTGCCGTCGAGAGGTGCCGCCCCGATGCATACCCACTGCGATGGGATCACTCCCGGTGGTGCCCCCGCCGCCAGAGGCAGGGAACTCTGGGGCTGCGGCTCTGTCATCCGCTGGCCCGATGACGAAGGATATCCCGCCTGCGGCGCCTGCTGTGGCGTCGCCTGCGCCGGTGGCGATTTGACCTCCGTCTCGGGGGTTGAGTCGACTGCAGCGGCTTTGACCCCGACTGGGTCTGCCTTGCTGCTCGGGCTGCCCTGCGCGATAGCCTTGATCAGTCGGCTGGCCTCCTGTGCTTGGCCCTGTGCCGTCGCAATCGCCGCCATCTGCTCCGTGACGGCGTTCGCGGCTCGCTCGAGCCCCTCCTGCTGCGACGCCTGCGAAGCCATCACGCCCTGCATCATGGTCTTCAACTCCCCGAACTGGCGCTCGACCATGTCCCTCACGTCCTTCTCGGTCTTGGCCTGTAGCTCTCGCACGTCCTCGAGCGGGTCGGTCGGCGGCAGTGTCCATGGCCTCCAGGTCGCTCTCCTGCCGGCGCTTCACCGATGATCCCCTGCGAGCGGCTGCGGCTGCAGACCTCTGCTCCGCCCGGTCCTTCTGCAAAGGCTCGGTTACCCTCGCCGCGTCCTCCGCCACCCGCCGACATCCCGACTGTTGAGGCGCCTCCAGGAACGAGCCGCTTGCCAGCCCCCCAGCCACCATGCCGGGATGGAGAGGCATCGGAGCCCTGTCGGCCCTGGGAGGCGGCTCGGGCACGCTCACCAAGGCCTGCCACTGCGGATCGATGCCCGCCTGGGACCAGCCCTGTCCGCACAGCGTGCAGGCCGCGCCCTTCCTCTTGCACAGGCACATTCTCTGCTCATTGACGGTCCCCTCGGTAGGCTTCAGCTCCTGGCACGCGACCCTCATCGCGCACCCGCTGCACACGAACCACTTGCCCGATGCGTTGGCAGCATCGCCCACGAGCGTAGGAGGGCGCCAACACGTCTCGCACGCCTCCGGAAGACGACGAAGCGACTTGGGCAAGTTGGTCGGCCAAAGGCGCCTGGTGCGGCACATCGTGCCAAACTCTTCCGCCATGCGCCCGGCCCAGTAGAGCACGCATCCTGCCAAACAGGCCCATCCCTTCTCGGCCTTGCTGAGGTTGTCCGGCACATACGTCACGGTCGCTCCATACACCCAGGCCGACTCCTGCTGATTCTGCATCCGGTCGGTCATCGTGCGAGGACGCTCCCGAGGGCCTCGACGCCCCCTCTGACCCCCCACACGCGTCGTCGACGGAGCTGGTGGCATCGCGGCCTGCTCTCTGGTCGATCTCTGCGCTCCCGAAGCTGTTGCCATCGCTGGATCGCTGCGAACTCACTTGTTTGAGCCCAAGTGCTGCCGGGGAGGTAGATGAGATAGATGTCGAGATCATGGCCCGTGTCGGCCACCTCCAGCCCCGCGCTGTCGAGCCTCCCCTGGTCCTGAAACGTCTCGTCCTGGAACTCAGAGCCCTGGTGATCCCCGAGGTACACGCGCTGCTCAGCGCGGCGTCGGAGGCGCCGCCCGATGCCAGACCCCATAGTGAGATTAGTCTCTAGACCTGAGTCGTTCGGCCCGACTGAGCCCCCGACGCAAACTCCGATTACCTCGGACCCGAGATTTTCCCAGAAGAACCCGGACCCCCCTGATCGGCCGTCCGTCTCCCGTGGACTCTCCCAGCAGCACCCCCCGTAACTCCCCCCTTGGCTCAGGCTGACGGGAGACGTGATGATGTACTTCCCCTTGGCTTGAAATGCGCCCTTCTGCAACTGAGGGTAGGACCTGAACACCAAGGCCGGGGCCTCGAAATCCTTTGCTGGAACTGAAAGTTTGCCCACCTGCATGGCGCGGTGGGCTGACGGGAGCCTAGTCAGAGGCGCTGTCACCCCTGACTTCAGACACGTCAAAACTTGGTTCGGAAGATCTACGATTCCCCCTAGCATCTCCTGAAATCCTTATGGGCAACAGAGGCGGGACATCCTGATCGAGAACGTCCAACTCAATAACCCCATGCGCCCCTCGATGCCGCCGAGAAAAATCAGAGCGGTGGGGGGGACCTCTACTCCCCCACCTACTCCGCGCGCACTACGATTCCTGGGCGGAACCCTTGGAACTGCGAACCCCTCCCTTTGAGGCCCAGTGCTCCTCAATCTGTCGCAACGCTGGTTCCCCTACGAACCCCTGGCCGGCTGCGGCATCCACCACCATGGCCCCGGGACCCACGGCGAGCAAAATCAAGAGCGCCCACATACAAATTAGCCTGGCGGAGGACCCAACCATATGTAGTTGTGGGCATGGCATTCGGGGGAGCTCCGTATGGGGCCACAAAACGCTGTACTGGGCGGGGGGGCCGCATGCGAACTGCGCCACTGGGACCTTTGGTGGAGCTCCCTGTGGGGCCACGAAACGCTGTACTGGGCGGGGGGGACGCATGCGAGCTGCGCCACTGAGACCTTCGGTGGAGCTCCCTATGGGGCCACAAGACGCTGTACTGGGCGGGGGGGACGCATGCGAACTGCTCCACTGGGACCTTCGGGGAAGCTACCTATGGGGCCACGAAACGCTGCCCTGGGCGGGGGGGGGGCACATGCAAACTGCGCCACTGGGGCATTCGGTGGAGCTCCCTATTGGGCCACGAAACGCTGCCCTGGGTGGGGGAACCGCATGCGGACTGCGCGACTGGCACCTTCGGTGGAGCTCCCTATGGGGCCACGAAACGTTGCCCTGGGTGGGGGAACCGCACGCGGGCTGTGCCACTGGAACCTTCGGTGGAGCTCCCTGTGGGGCCACGAAACGCCGCCCTGGGTGGGGGAACCGCATGCGGGCTGTGCCACTGGGACCCTCGGTGGAGCTCCCTATGGGGCCACGAAACGCTGCCCTGGGCAGGGGAACAGCATGCGGGCTGCGCCACTGGGACCCTCGGTAGAGCTCCCTATGGGGCTACGAAACGCTGCCCTCGGTGGGGGAACCGCATGCCGGCTGTGCCACTGGGACCTTTGGTGGAGCTCCCTATGGGGCCACGAAACGCTGCCCTGGGTGGGGGAACCGCATGCGGGCTGTGCCACTGGGACCTCCGGTGGAGCTTCCTACGGGGGGGCTACGAAACGCTGCCCTGGGTGGGGGAACCGCATGCGGGCTGTGCCACTGGGACCTTCGGTGGAGCTCCCTATGGGGCTACGAAACGCTGCCCTGGGTGGGGGAACCGAACGCGGGCTGTGCCACTGGGACCTTCGGTGGAGCTCTGGGGCCACGAAACGCTGCCCTGGGTGGGGGAACCGCGTGCGGGCTGTGCCACTGGAACCCTCGGCGGAGCTCCGTATGGGGCTACGAAACGCTGCTCTGGGTCGGGGAACCGCATGCGGGCTGTGCCACTGGGACCTTCGGTGGAGCTCCCCATGGGGCCACGAAACGCTGCCCTAGGTGGGGGAACCGCATGCGGGCTGTGCCACTGGGACCTTCGGTGGAGCTCCCTATGTGGCTACGAAACGCTGCCTCGGGCGGGGGAACCGCATGCGGGCTGTGCCACTGGGACCTTCGGTGGAGCTCCCTATGGGGCCACGAAACGCTGCCCTGGGTGGGGGAACCACATGCGGGCTATGTCACTGGGGCATTCGGTGGAGCTCCCTATGGCGCTACGAAACGCTGCCCTGGGTGGGGGAACCGCATGCGGGCTGTGCCACTGGGACCTTCGGTGGAGCTGCCTATGGGGCTACGAAACGCTGCCCTGGGTGGGGGAACCGCACGCGGGCTGTGCCACTGGGACCTTCGGTGGAGCTGCCTATGGGGCTACGAAACGCTGCCCTGGGTGGGGAACCGCATGCGGGCTGTGCCACTGGGACCTTCGGTGGAGCTCCCTATGGGGCCACGAAACGCTGCCCCGGGTGGGGGAACCGCATGCGGGCTGTGCCACTGGGACCTTCGGTGGAGCTCCCTATGGCGCTACGAAACGCTGCCCTGGGTGGGGGAACCGCATGCGGGCTGTGCCGCTGGGACCTTCGGTGGAGCCCCCTACGGGGCCACGAAACGCATGAGTGGCGCGCCGAGAGCAAAGGCGAGGAGTGGGGAGGGAGAGGAGGGAGGGGGCAGCGGGAGGAGAAGGAAACGCGGGGCACCGTCTTTTCAAAACGAGGACCCAACACCACAGGATGGCTGGGAAAAAATCATGCCTTTCACCGGAGGTGCCTTTTCATCTCTGGCCCCGGCGCCCTGCTTCTGCGGGCACTCCCGAGACCAATGTCCCTTCTGACGGCAAACGCGGCACCTCGTACGCTTCATCACTTCAGCGAGAAGCATTCGACTTTTGCGCGCCCTGAACGCGCCGCCGGCTGCTCCGCGGCCGGGCCTGCGAGCCTTCTCGCGCCCATCACCGCCGCGAGCTGGGCCGGACCTGTCGTAGAATTTCCGGTCGGTCTTCAGCTGCCTCTTCAGGTCTGGGTTCTGGTTCCAGGTCTTGCGGCGATCCTGGTGGATCGCCGCCAATGCCGCCAGCGCATCGTCCTCACCGACGTCGGCCGCCTCCAGGATCGCCCACACCTCGGCCTCCCCGTCAGAGTTCATGGAGGAGACGTCGGAGTAGTCTAGCAGCGACTCGTCGCCGCGGTCGACCTGGTAAGTTGGAGTCGCATGTGGAGGAACGTCAGGCCCCACTGTGGCGCACGTCCTCCGATTCACCCTCAGACGCTCCCGATGCGAGATGCCCATTTCTCGAGTCGCTGACAGAGCCGTCTTGTAATCCTTCTGGTCCTTCATGAGCACCTTCACCATCTGCGCCGAGCGCTCATCTAGAGAGACGCCCTCCTCGAGAAACATCAGTTTCCAGGCGCCTGGAAGCGGCCGCCCCTGCGTGGCCACCCGATCGAACGCCGCATCCACTCGAGCGCAGTACTCGGTGAGGTTATCTCCCTGCTTGCGTGCGTAGTCCAGCAGGCACTCCCTGACGACCTTGCGTCTCTCGTCGCCGTGCCTCTCGCCAGACATCAGACCCAATCGTGAGATTATCATGTCGAATCCCTCGGAACTGCATAGTGTCGTCTATGTTTTCCAGCTCCCGCTGCAGATCCTGACCGAGAGAGCGGAGGAGTCGGCCTGCCTGCTTGTGGGAGGGAACGTCGGTCAGCGTCCTCCAGCGCAGCACTTTGCGGCGCCACAGGCGATAATCCCCCCAGCCATTCCACTTCTCGGGATCGGCGAAGTCCTTGCCGGAGTTGAAGCTGGAGCCGTCCCCGTCGTATCCGGAGTAGCGCTTATTGGGCTCCCAGTTGCTGTCCTGGTGAATATGGTTCCATCTCCACCCCGATGACCAATCGCCACCCCCGGTGTACTCGTCCCTCCAGGCTCGATTCTCGTATACGAGCTCTCCCATGCTGAAGTAGGTGCCCATGACTGTCTTGACGAGGCCCCAGTGCTGCTCACCAGATCCCTGGTCTGGTTGCTGCCATGTGCCTCTCGTCGTGATCCAGTCACCGGACTGCCACTGCTCCGACCTGCCCTGGGACGCCTCGGTGGCGGACGCAGCTGCGCCACCACCGGACCATGTCCCGGCACTCGTCGAATCATGCTCTGGCTGTGGTGCTCGCCAGCCATTCCACGAGTGCGCTTCGCCCCCTGACCACTGAGCGTCTCAGCTCCATCCGTGGCCGGACCAGTGCCCGCCCGCGTCGCCCCCACACGAATCTCCCTGGTGACTCTGAGAGCCGGCCGGCACGACGTCGAGTAGCAGGAGACATGCTAGCTTCTCCGCCTCGTCATGCTCGAGGTTGAGACCCTCGTGCTGCATCAGTGTGTCGGTCACTGCTCGTACTGCTGAATGCCCCCTTTGTTCATCTGGCGGTGCTCTCCGGTTAGCATCCTACCCCGCTGCTGCCGTCATTGGTCCGCGGAACCAGAGCTGCGCACAGCTCCGCTACCACTGTCGCCCGACGGACGACAGCGATGAGGCTAGAATGTCGGATCCCTCTCCACCGGCTGGTGAACTTCCACTCTTTCCACAGTACGCAACGTCCAACACTGCACAAATCCAGCACAGAACGTTGCAGAAGGGGTAGGAAATGGCAGATTGGTATGAGTGATGAGGAATGGGTAGAAGGTGGGTCTTGAGCCAAAAAGGTTACGGCCCATGCTCGTGACCTTCAAGCTCAGGGAGTCTAGTTGGGCACTGATATCTGAAAACGCAGGCCTCTAGACTCGATTCACACATCATCATCATCATCATCATCATCATCATCATCATCATCATCATCATCATCATCATCATCATCATCATCATCATCATCATCAGCATCAGCATCAGCATCAGCATCAGCATCGTCATCATCATCATCATCATCATCATCATCATCATCATCATCATCATCATCGTCATCATCATGATACTCATCATCATCATCATCAGCAGCAGCAGCAGCAGCCTCATCATCATCAGCAGCAGCATCATCATCATCATCAGCAACCTCATCAGCAGCAACATCAGCATAAGCATCATCACCATCGTCATCAATAGCAGCATCATCAGCATCATCAGCAGCATCATCAGTAGCATCAACAGCATCGTCATCGTCAGCATCATCATCATCATCATCATCATCATCATCATCATCATCATCATGGGCATTAGCATCTTCATCTTCATCCTCATCCTCATTCTCCCTTACATGATCCTCATCCTCCTCCTTCTCCACCTCCTCCTCCTCATCCGCCTTATCATCATCCTCATCCACATCCTTGTCCTCCTTACCCTCCACCTTCATCATCATCATCATCATCATCATCATCATCATCATCATCAGCATCATCATCATCATCATCATCATCATCATAAGCATCACCATCACCATCAGCA